GAGCAGGCAGGCAGGGCGGGCTGCGAGCCCAAGGCCGGCAACAACATCGAGATCGTCAGCACGTCGCAGACAGCCAAAGTCATCGTCTCCGTCAAGGACGCCGTGCCCACCATCTTCTGCGGCAAGATCAAGGGCCTGTCGGGGGTCTCCACCAAAAACTTTTCCTTCAAAAGGGACCTGCCCCAGGACTCGGTGCTGCAGTGCTACGACGTGAAGAGCCCGCCCGAGCCCCGGGACAGCGCCGAGGCCCTCAGGAAACCCGTCAAAAACAGGAGCGTAAAGCTAAAGAAAATGAACTCGCCGGAGATACATATTCTTCCAATCAAGAAGCAACGGCTCGCTGCCTTTTTTCCAAGAAAGTAAATTATGGGTTTTTAGAATTTTAAGATTATTATGAGAAGAAGAAGAAGAAAAAAAATAATAAAAAAGATGCACTTGGTTTTAAACTCATTTAAAACTTTAAACTATCTTTGTAAGTTATTTTTGGGGAAAGGGGGAGAGGATTGGATGTAGAGTCCCTATAAGCTGGGTTGGTTTTGGTTTTGTTTTTTTTTTCTTTTTTTTTTTGTTATCGAATTTTGACTTTTCATGGGAAACTGAATAAAAAGCAACCTATTTTTCAAGCAGATTGCACATTTTGCAGCTTTAATGGAGTAATGGATGAGTCAGAGGGGTAAGAGCTATTTTCACTGCCATAAAGTGCTTTGATGATGTAATTCTTCATAACGGTCAGAATGGAAATTTCAAAATAAATGTTTGTACGTGCTAATTGGTTGCGGCATTTTTTGTCATTTCTGAATTGCTTTCAGTGTACGAAGAAGGTTTGGCAAAAAAAGTCCATAAACTGTAAAGCGCCACAGCTGATGAGCCTAAAATGTTAAGAAAAAAATAACAGGCTATTAAAAATTATACTGTCCTGCAGCACAGTCAGAGAGCACGTCGCAACAGCCGCTAACGATGCGCCCAAACAAGCTTCTGGAGGAGAGAGAGCGAGCAAGCGGCACAGCCCAGTGCGAACCTAACACCAGCTTCATTGCGAGAGACCCATAGGAAACCATCTTAAAATATTCTGCAATATTAGCAGTCATTTAAAAGAGAAAAGCCTAAAAGTCAGGGGAATTCGGTTGCCAGGGGGTGCGGGAGGGGAAGGAAAAGTCATAATTTTTCCCAGCCTGACTTCCATATATGTGTAAAGTTGTTTATTGTTAGTTTTCCACGTTTCTTTGATGGCTGAAATCAACGCACGTGAAAGAGCAGAACTGTGTAACTTTTATCACTCAGCAGCGTACAAGCCGCCCACGCCATTGGACAAATGTCAATGCACAATTAAAATAAAAGTTCTGGTAGGTTATGGTTTTGCAGTTGTGTATGGAAATGAGCTGGAGATGCATTACTCTATGTCAGCTTTTAAGTTCACACAGCTCGCTTGTAAAAACCCATCCCAGCGGAAGGACAAACGTGAGTGCAGGAGAACAATTTTCAGTGGGCGCTGCCTTTTTTGTCGCTATACCTGTTTACGTAGAAAAACTCTTTTGTGTTATTATTTCAAATTACATGTTCCCAGCACTGCACCAGTACTGTCTAAATAAAAAAGCCATTGTAAACCCATCAGCTGGATGCCGTCGCATGCTAACTCTGCCTTCTTTTGCCTAACCGCAGCCAAGCTACTTCCAAGACTCCTCTTGGACAGTTTTGGAAAGATTTTTGCAGTTGTTTGTGCAATGAGAAGTTGCCCAAAGAAGCGGCTTCAGGTTTAAAAGTCTAATCACACCCAGAGACGCCGGTGCGATGCCGAAATCTGTTGAAACTTTTGATGCCAGCAGACGCCAATTCACTGTTCAGAACATGCATCTGGATGAGGAGGTTAGGGAAGGCATGCTGTTTCTCTTTCAACTGGGCTGAACCATCACTGCCCCCTTGCTTAATATGAAAATGGAGGACTTTCACATAAGCATAGCATGAAATTCTGTCAAACTCTTGCTTTTTAAGGATTTTTAAAGCCTTTTTTTTTTCCCAAAGCTGGCACAACTGACAATGTTCAGAAGAGCGTAAAGTGTTGATGGATTCATTAATGTTTAGTCATCTGACTGTAATTTTTTTTTAATATCTTTTTTCTTCATTGAAAATACGCTGCTACTTTGTTTTGCTCCTTCCAAGAAACTGTGCTGAAATGTGTCATCTTCTGGTTATTGCAGTACAAAGGCTCAGGATTTCGACATCCCTTGGGGATGGCCGTCCCAGTTGTCACTGCCCCACTCTGTTTCAGCTGGGCCCGTTCCAGAGTGTCAAAAACCTTCTGAAAAATGTAGTTGTCCTCAGGGCTACACCAGATTATTTAAAAAGAAGGAGGTGACAGCATTAGCTGCTGTCATTTTTATTTCGCAGTTGACAGAAGCCAATTCAAAAGAAATTTCTGGGAATTATTTTTTTTAAAAAGTGTGTGTGTATGTCACACTGGTGGTTCCATCTGCTCCACTGACTGCCCCGATGCCCACCATCCTTGTGCAAGTGAGTCTCATCTCCCACAGCACCCTCAGCAGGCGGAGGGAGGGTGTCCAGCTGATGCCACCCCTGCTGCCTGCCACGAGCCACCTGCAACAGGCAGAGCAGCGCCTGTCGGTGACCCTGGCTGCAGGTCCTGAGGTTCTCCCTCCTCTCCTCCACAGGCCTTTACTGGGAGCTGGTGGTGCTGCCAGGTGAAGTTCAGTGCCCAGGCTACCTCTGCACATAGCGCTCTCCGCTTTAACTGAATTTCAACCGCATGCCCCAGAAACCCTGACAACAAATTAGGCTAAATCAGCTTTTATGCCATTATAAACCCACACAAGTGCTGTCAAAACACCCCATGCCTACGGGCAACTAATTCAGTTTAAAGCCAACTGGTACTGGCTGTGAAGGCAGACCAGACCAGCAGCCACGTGGCTGCATCTTCTCCCAGACCATTACAAGGGTAACTGCAACCTCCCCCTCTCTGAAACAGGCTCAGGAAAAGCACAGCAGGCTCCAACCATCCTAGCATCCCCCTCCGCCCCCCCAGGACCAGCCTCTCCAGGACCATCTCCCGAAGGGCCAAGCTCCCTGCCACAGCTGGTCACCACCAATGTCCCCATTGCCACAAGGCGACACAGGCTGGAGACACCCCACTAGAAATGGATGGGCAGAGCAGACCGGGCTCACCCGCCCCAACGCCCGGCTTTTCCATTGCTCAACCTGCAACGACAGGGGGAATATTCTGAACCGCATCTTTCTGGGAAGACTTGAGGCAGCTCCCACTCCCTTCCCTGTGACGCTTTCACACCTCCAAGGCTGTGCCACGGGGAGAGGAGCCATACACCAGCACCTCTCCTGATGCTTAACTCTGTTGGGCAAACGACTCTAAGTAGGGACCATTTGCCTCCCACCATCCCTCGTGTGTGAAGCACAAGTCCTACATCCTGTCAGCGTGGGGGAGAAGCGGCCACAGAACAAGGTACTTAATTATACCAGGATTGAGCACTTCCACCTCCTCCTCCTCCTCGCCTCTAGCAGCAATTACAGATTTTGTATATTGGGCCATTAATTTTCTACAGAGCTACATTTTAACTGCTTCTGAAACTTCTGTACAAGGAGAAGGACGCGGAGCTGCACTTGTGATATATGGAGCTTCCATTTCTGGTGGCTGTTAATGGAGACATTAATACCTCTTGTGAAGTTGAAGGGAAAGTCATTAAGCCGTAATGGTAGGAGGAAGATGTTTTACAATGATGGGTATATGCAAGGGGGAGAGAGAGAGAGAGAGGAGCAGTGCAGACCCTCAAGGGCACCTCTTGTTGGCTCCAAGCTTCCTTTGACTTGGACTTTGGAGTGTGGGGTTTTATTAGGAGGTGGGTGGGTAAGAGGGTTACGGGGGTTACTGCTGTCTTCCCCCCATCAGGAAGGGGCTTCACAGGCAGCCGGACACCGAATCCAAGGAAGGGAGCAGGGCTGGATGTCTCAGATGAAGGCCACGGTACATGGCAGCCTCAGGGGTGGGAGAGCTCAGGTGGACCAACCTGGAGCTTTCCTCCTCTGCCCCTCCACTGCCCAAGGCACGGCCCCGGCACCAGGGGAGCACAGCTAAAGCTTCGGCACCTGGAGTTAGCTGTGAGCAACAGAAATGAATCCTAAAGAAGAATGAGCAGCTTCTCAGCCAGGGAACTTGCCTGGACTGGGCGGTTTTTAGGCTGAGAGACCAGACAAGAAGTCAGGTAAGAGGCAGACAATTATGAGTGCAAGGAAAAGGTGGAGAATGGTGAGATGAAAGCAGCCAGCGGAAGCCAAGACCAGAGCCACCTCCAGGCCTGTGGGCATCACACCTTCACTGAAGTGAGCAAGCAGCCAGCCAGAGAACCAAACGGAGAAGCAAAGTGGCAGCACTTGGCCATGAGCAGATGATGAGAGACAGAGAAAAGGAGAGAGACAGCATCAAAGACAAGGCTCCAGGGCTGCTCGGCTCAGCGAGAGCGGGAAGAAAGGTGAGGACAGAGCGCTGGGAGGGCAACGCTCTCTTGGGCTGAAGGCTGCTGAGAAGCAAGGGTGGGGGGAAGCCCTATGTCACATCACATGTGTGACAGAGCCACCACGGCAGCGCGGCCTTCCTGCCCCTGCCCTGGCACAGCAGGTGATGGGGAAGAGCAGTGGCAAACCCGGCCCGGTGGGAAGGGGAACAGCAAAGTTCCTGCCTATCGCAGGCCTGAAGTAATGTGTGTGACCGAGGCTCTCCTGCCACCCACACCCCTAGCCCCCATAATACTGACATGCCGATACATCTCCCGATTAGTGCCAACTTTTCCTTTTTAACCACTTCTACCCCACTCTCTGCTCAGCACCACCCCCCTGCCCTGCCCCAGAGCGCTGCCCGCTTGCAGCAGAGGTCTGACCCACAGGGGCTCAGGGAGCAGCTTCGGGCACTTCTCACACGCGAAAGCTTTCAGGAGAAACTGGCTGGCATAGAAGTGGCCGCTGAGGGCCGAAGGGAGCCATTTGGAGAAGTCCATACCCCTTCACTGGCACAGAGGCAGCTCAGGACAGCGATCCGACAACAATAAGCCACTCGTTAACAGTCCTCATGAAGAATCTTAGACAATGAAAATAGCATAAAACAACATTGCATAATATCCTGGTGCCAGATGTTTTAGTTTCTTTTTGTGCTCAAGTTTATAAAAACATGCTGAAGGGCTCAGTCAAAGACCTTGTTTTCCTCTGGCTGGGATGGGTTCCCGCCCTCCCGAATGCAGCCAGCCTGCCACTGCGACAGGAATGACATTAATTTGTGCAATTTGCTTTTTTTCACTCACCTTTCACTTTTTTCCCCCAATGCTTCCCCCTCCTCTTATTTCAAGTTGCATTTCTCTTAGACTATACCACATACTCTTCATGCTGAAGTTTGCAATTCAGAGTACTCTGGGGCAGTCCTACCCACACAAGCAAATCCCCTAATTTTAATGCGGAAAACATATTTTCCACAGTTGTTAAAATCCTGGTATCGCAGCCCTGCTAGGAAAATCCGTTCTGTTGTTGAACCATCTGAAACATTTCTTCATGTTTGAGGAGAAAAATTACTAATCGCTAAAATATTTAGCGCTGCTTTGTGCCCACATACCCCAAGCTCTCCTAGAATAATAGCATAATATCCTGCTACTGAAATTATTCAGATACTTTCAAACTAAGTGGGGAAAATTAAAAGAGCAAACAGCAGGGTACAGTCTAAGCAAATATCTGGAAGGGAGCACTATTTTCCAGGTAAAACAT